TTCCAGAAAAGTTTCTGTGTCATCTTGAAGACCGACAGATGGCCAGGCATCGAGGGACGTTTCCGGATCCGCTGCACCGTTGCCATAAAAGGGAGCTACTTCGCCTTCAGCCGCTGGGGCACGACACTCTTTTCGGCCCATACTCACGCTGCTCCATGTACCAGGTTAGTTATTTAAATCATTCAAAATGTTGCCGAACGAGCAATGTAATGCTTCTCAGAGTGTCGTGCCCAATCGACAAACGTGTGCTTTGTAGATACATGCATTTTGCTGGCTCTTGGGTGATTGCTACATTGATGTCTTTGTGCTGTGAACTATCGTTTTTGTTTTTTGAGACCTTGTTGCTTTTGTCGGGTGACGTGGAGCTAAACCCCGGTCCCATGACTAAGGCACAGATTGAACAGCTTGGGAAAATTGAGACCATTTTGTTGGAATTGCAATCTGGTCAAATGACTGTTTTGGGAAAGTTAGCTGGTATTGAGGCAAAACAAGCTGATCTTGAGAGGAAGTTTGATACCATAAGCTTGAAAACTAATGATATTGAAAAACGTGTTTTGCAGATTGAAGGAAGTGGCAGGAAATTAGAAGCAAAATTAGATGATCTTGAAAACAGAAGCAGGAGGACAAATTTGGTATTTTTTGGAGTTCCCGACAACTCTCGCAGTGAAACGTGGGAAGAATCGGAAAGGCTGATCACAAAAATCTGCAAAGACGTGTTATCGCTCGATGTTTTAATTGAAAGAGCCCACCGATTTGGGAAACACAAAGATGGGAAAAAGAGACCAATTGTAGTCAACTTCCCGGGTTGGAAGGTCAAAGAGTCTGTGTTGCGAAGTGCTTTTAAATTCAAGAATACTTCATTCAGTGTCTCCGAGGATTTTAGTCTTGCAGTCCAAGAAAAGAGGCGTCAACTTTGGAATTATGCGAAGGAGAAAAGGAAGAACAGAGAGAACAAGGTTCATTTAAACCACGATAAACTGGTTATCAATGGACAGACGTTTATCTGGGACAGCGAAACGAGACAACCTGTTTTATATCGGGCGCCTGGCCAACCAAGAGAACACGAATGACGGGTCGGAAAGCCTAAAGATGGCCCAAGCAATCATGAGGCTACAGCTACAAAACAGGCGCCTTCAGTACTATTGGTAAATTGCCGTAGCATCAAAAATAAAGTAGACGAGTTTGCACTTTTGTTTGAGACCCTTAAACCTGAAGTTGTTATGGGGACGGAGTCTTGGTTATATGATACTGTTAGTGACGCTGAGGTATTTCCGGCGGGTTTTACAGTTTATCGCAAAGACAGACATCGGCACGGTGGGGGAGTTTTTCTACTAATTTCTAATAGATGGACTAGTCATGAACTGGTTTTCGAAAATGCTACCGAGTCTGTCTGGTGTCGGGTCCTTTTCCCAAGGGGAACTGCTCTCGTGTTCGGGACCTTCTACCGCCCCCCTGATAACAGTGAAACTTCAATTTGTTTGCTCTGTGACATGTTATCAATGATTCCTGACAGTGTTTTTCTAGGTGGTGATTTTAATCTGCCAGATTTTAACTGGTCTACTGGAACAACAGAATGTATTGTTAAATCACGCGTTAACACTGTGTTTACAGAGGTATTGGGCACTTTCGGCTTCAATCAATATGTGCAGCAGCCGACGAGGTTGAACGCCATTCTAGACTTGGTCTTATGTAATGACCCTAATATTGTAGCTCAGGTCGGGGTGTATCCTGGAATAAGTGACCATAGTGTGGTTGTTGCAACGCTAAATGTATCTGGAGCACCCGAGAGGGCACAACTTCCACGCAAGGTATTCATGTATGAGAGAGGAAACTTTGACGCCATCGGCACTGAATTGGACAGCTATTTTTCAACCTTTTTATGCTTAGCAGAATCGCACTGTCTAGAAGATCTGTGGAGCATCTTTCGTAATAAAATAACAAACTTAATCGACACTTTTGTACCATCGAGGATTATTCGACAAAAACGAAAACAAAAACCATGGTTTAATATTGAAATTCGTAAACTCGTAAGAAGAGCGCGGTGTGCATATAGAAGGGTTTCCAGAGATGGCTGTCCAATAAACCTGCAAAGGCTAAAGGAAATTAATTACACATTAAAGTTACCTATAAGAAAAGCAAAGAAGTTATTTTTCTCCCGGCTAAACGATGATCTTAAGCGAAATCCCAAAGTGTTCTGGAATTACGTTAAAACAAGTAGAAAAGATGATATTTCTATCCCATACTTAAATGTTAACAATACAATAATCAAGAGTGATGCTGAGAAGGCAGAATGTTTTAATTCTTACTTCAAATCAGTATTTTCTCAAGAAACAACCAGCGATGAATCACCAGTATCTGTTATTTCTGGTAACACAATGGCAGATATTGAAATTGATGTTAACGGTATTACTTGCCTCTTGCGTGAAATGAATACCTCGAAGGCAACCGGACCTGATGGATTACCATCGATTGTTCTTTGTAAGTGTCGAGATATTATAGCCCAGTATTTATGTCTCATGTTTAAAATTTCCCTTGAAACTGGGGCAGTTCCACACGATTGGAAGGTAGCAAATGTTATTCCTGTTTTCAAGTCAAGGGATAAAAAACTTGTAGAAAATTATAGGCCTATATCTTTGACGTCAATTAGTTGCAAATTGTTGGAACATATTATATATAGTGAAGTTTTTGATTACCTGGAATCCTGTAAATTTCTTGCCCCTTCCCAGCATGGCTTTCGCAGAGGGTGTTCATGTAACACACAACTGGCAGAATTTCAACATTACATTTCAAAATCACTTGACAGCAATACTAATGTAGATGCAATTTTCCTTGATTTTCGTAAAGCCTTTGATACTGTACCACACCACCTACTACTGAAGAAATTAGCATCTTTAAATATAACTAACAATATTCAAAAGTGGATAAAAAATTACTTAAGTGGCCGAGAGCAGTGCGTGGTTTTAAATGGTAGCAAGTCATTACCTATAACTGTGAGTTCAGGAGTACCCCAAGGCAGTGTCTTGGGACCATTATTGTTCTTAATTTATATTAATAATATTGTAACTGACATTCAATCGCCGATTAAGTTGTTTGCGGACGATTGCGTTGTTTATAGACAAATATATTCAACAATGGACATAGAAATATTGCAAAGCGACCTAGATAAAATAGAACACTGGTGTGATAAGTGGAAAATGAGTTTAAATATTGGAAAATGTAATTATCTCAGCTTCACAAAAAATGTGTCAATCAAAAATGTGTCAAAATGCAATAATCCGCAGAGTAAGCGACTGTAAATACTTAGGAGTTAATTTCACCCAATCACTTAAATGGCACAATCATATTGACTATACAATAGCAAAGGCAAGCAAAATGTTATATTTTATCCGGAGGAATTTTAAGGGCGCTTCAACAGAGGTGAAAGAAACTCTTTATATTTTGCATGTTAGGTCGATACTCGACTATGCATGCATCATTTGGGACCCATACCAAGATTATCTTATCGAAAAATTAGAAAAGGCACAGAATCAAGCCGCACGATTTGTCAGCAATAACTATAACCCTTATGCAAGTATCTCTGAAATAAAAGCCATGCTGGGATGGGAATCATTAAACACTAGAAGGTATAAGTTAAGGTTGAACTTTTTTCATCGGATTTATTATAATGAAACTGGCATTGATAGAAATGAGTATTTGTATAAACCAAGTTACATGTCAGCGCGGTTCGATAACTCTGAAAAGGTTTTTGAGTACTGTTATAAAACAAACAATTTTGGTAGTTCTTTTTTTGTTCAAACAATCAAAGACTGGAACCTGCTGCAACAGGAGCTGGTCAGTATCTCAGACAATGATGTATTTTTTTCTTGTTTGTGAAAATCACTGTTATTTGTTATTTCGTGATCCCCCCCCCCCCCCCCCTACGATAATGCCCACGAGGCGATGTAGGTATTCTGTAAATAAATAAATAAATAAATACAACCAAAATGTTACATTTGTAGACTGTTTTTTATTGTAGTTGACTAATATGTATAAAAAAACATTAAAAAATAAAAATTGACAAAAATGGCATTTTTTAGAAAATCGACCTCGAACTTTCAACATTTCTTATTTCTTACAACGTTTACGGGAAGGTAGCGAAGCGGCTAGTTGACAGATCATAATGATATTATTATATCTATAATGGGCTTGCTTTGGGCTCTCTGTAGAGCCAAAGAAAGAAAACTTACCTTAAATACATACAAAGTAATGACCTGTCAAATTTGACCGAAAAGCGACCGGAGTGACGAGTTTGAGATGTTTTCTAGAAAACAACCAAATCCCTAAAAATATTTGAATTCATCAAGGTATCTTTATAATACCTATTAAATGAGGGAGAAAAGCTGAAAGGGTGTAGAGAAAACAATAGCTCCAGCAGAGGGTGTCAAACACGCGACCTGCGACGGCAGGCAAAAACACTAGTTTCTGCCACTGCGGCTTCTACGGCTCGTAACTCGAGAACCAAAAATCTGGAGAACATGCGATTTGCGCCCTCCTTCATTTGAGAAACACCCCCAAAACATATATTGTTTTTGTGAAAATTAAATATTAGACCCTTTTAGCCTGCTTGATTTGAGATGAAAACACCCATATATATATATATATATATATATATATATATATATATATATGTGGGTGTTTTCATCTCAAATTGGGCAGGCTAAAAGTGAAAGTGCCTTTTGAGGGAAGGGAACCTTACTAATTATTAGGATTTGTATTAACGTGTATAATACTTTCATAGTTCCGATTGATTAAGTGTCTGCCCTAGATTACTTTAGAATCTGAGCAAACTGGAACGAATTGAAACAATCAATGCCGTCTGTACGGTTTATTTATATTTTGTTGCCTCGTATGCTTTAGTGAAAGCTTTTTTTTTTTCTTACATTATGGACACGATAAGCTTAGCAGTTGTATGAATAAATAACGAGCAGTGGGTTGGTCTGGCGACAGGAGGATTGACTCACCAATTGAACTACTTGAGAACTAAGAAATTTCCCCAGAGATCCGAAAGCTTGGCGTATGGAGAGGGCTTGAGAACGTATCTCGGTTGGGTAAATCTCGGCAGCATACAGGTATCCGACGTTGTAGGCCGTGGTCAGAGCGAAGCGGCCCACCATCATCACAGCAAAGATGGCGACTGACTTGCCTGGAAAAAAAGCGCAATTTGAAAATGCTGCCTTTCTCTTCAACCTTAAGGGGGTTGGGGGAAGGGGGGTGTGTGTCTATGTACAATAGATGCATTGTTCTCTTACACATTTCGCACTGTGAAACACACAGAGGCGGGTTTAGCATTTTGCCGCCCTGGGCAGCCTTTAACAGTGCCCCCTCCCCCCTCCCCACTACCAGACGCCGGCCCGGGGGGAGGGGGAAAGAGGGTGGGGGGGTTCGAGTAGATAAGTTTGGAAGTAAAATTTTTAAAAGTGGCTAAAGCTAAATGCGAAGCCATATTTAATATATATATATATATATATACATATATATATATATATATATATATATATATAACTGAGAAGAAAAAAAAACCTTGGTGAAAAGTGAAAACAACAACAACTGACGACTTATTACTAATATTCGACGTTTCGGCCGGCCGGACGTAAAATTGCAAGCCTGCCAAGGCTTACACCTTCATGAACACGCTATACATGCTTAAAGAATGATTTGTTTTCCTAAAACATTCGCAAAAAAAAAATGTAAAATCTTATTAAAGTTTTGTACTTACAACGCTTCTCCAGATCGAAGGTTGAGAGCTTCTATGTGAAGAAGCGAAAACGCGTTTCCCGGCTCGAACTGGTAACTGTAAACGGGGATTCGCCGGCATTTTACAACACGCTATTTCTTTGCAGTTTCGTACGCAGTCGGCTTCGGGTACTGTAGTGTCCCTACTCCAAGGAGAAGGGCATTGAGGCGCGGTGTGCTCGCGCCTGTGCCTCCCAGAAGCCTACATACAACTCTTGGAGTTTTGGTCGAGGCCGATGCGCAGTGCTCACCGTAGCAGGCAGCCACGCCGAGGTAGCAGAGCGCCGCCAGGGTGTAGGCGGCCATCATGCTGGGCCGCCGTCCCCAGCGGTCAGCCAGAGGCAGCGCCAGCCCCGTGGCCAAGATGTCCATGGCGTTGGTGGTTGACGTCATGACGAACGGGTCGTCCGTCGCCGTGGCCGCGTACAGCTGGCCCGCCGAGTACGTCAGGCACGAGAGCAACCTTGGGTGGGGCGAACAGAACACAGGGAATGCGAAGGTGCCGCTACTTCAACAAAAGTCAGGGCAGTTGCCTTCGAAAACTACGCCTTGGAAATGGTTCATTATTCTTAGGAATGACATCGCTCTCGGAACTAGGCCTGTCACTGCCGGAGGCCAGGACTTGTCTGGGATTTACTGGAGACAGTTCGGCACGGAAGCAGTAGATGTGAATCATTGCGCGTTATTACTCGTGAATTGCGTTTGGTAAAAATATAACACACGTTCTTCCTGATTACACTCGAGAAATTTTTAACGTTGCGAGACTTAATATTTTTCTGCTATGATATTTCTGGTCAAAGAATGTTTGCGATTCACAACTGTTAAAGATCGGAACGGTGTACTGTATTTTTTAAGCCAAATGACATCATTATAATCTGCAAAACCATCATTCTAATATGTGATCAAGCGTTGTCCTATAAAAAATAAATCAGTACAAGAATTGTTTGGACTTAAAATAAGTCTACGAAAAGTTGTTCACGACTAAGAAACACCGTTTCATTTAATTATTGCCAATTTGAAAAAAAAATCGTGGTTTAGAAATGTTGGTATTCCTCTGACATATTGAGAAAAAAAGTAAATTTGTCGTACGTGGTGATGTCATCATTATTAATTAGCATTGGCTTAGGTAATAGGTATAATTGCCTATTTCATGTTAACATCGAAGATGCTCGATCTTAGGTTTGACAGCAGATCTTTCGATGCACGTCAAACATACCTCACCGTACGGTAAACTTGTGCATTTCTATCTAATCTAAATCAATAAGCAAACTCTCCAACCGTCCATCATTCTTCATTAATAAGCATGAGTTTGACGAAATTCGTCTGCTCAAGTAAGCAGTATTTGCAGGCTTTTTTTTTTATTTTTTAACGAGTTGGCAATTTTTTTAGGCAACCTCAGTCATCTTGATTGGTTAATCAACTAAAGTCGTAATTATTTCTTCGATTCCTTCGGTTCCTTAACTAGAACGGGTCAGTGTGGGCAGCTGTAGTCCCTGACAGAATGAGAACTGCAGGATGTCCAATCCTTCCGCCGTGCTTTGGCTGCGTGCGCGCGCTCGAGGTGCACAAGAGGCCGAAGGGTTGTCGAACTTCAGAAGCTCGCGCTGGAGGCGGGACAACTGAAACTCCTCTCTGTCGTTCTCACCTTGTCATTGACTATATGGAATGTGACAATCACAGATTTGTGCTCACCACAAGAAGAGTGTGATGAGGAAGTTCCTTCGGAGAGTCGGAAAACGAAAGACGTCCATGGTACTCGTTTTCTTCATTCCATCGCTCTTGTCCGGGAACTGTTGTAAAAAAAAAAAAAAGATATATATATATTTATTTTCACGCTCGTATACGTACGGAGGGCGGAAAATTTACTACGAACAATCAATCGGTGTTTTTTAGTTGTCTGTTCTTTTTTTCTTACATATAAAAGTGCCTTCTTCAAAATTATGATGAAACGTGCCCATCCTGGTTACCAACATAAGCCGTAAAAGGGGGTGTTTTTCAATACCGGCTCTGAGCAAACAATGAAAAGTGACAATGTCGTCTTGTTGAAGGAGAGCGTGCTGGTAATTTTACAAAAATAGTCGAAAAGAAATAAAAAGATTGGTCTGTGCATAGCAGACATGTATGTACAAATTACTCAAAAAAAGGTAGTTAAGTTACTGAGTATCGACGCCAAAAGTAGTTGGAGTAGAGTAGAAATTACTCATTTGTAATAGTAATTGAGTAAACTACTAACTACTGTAAAAACGTAGCGAGTTACTTTGAAGTTATTTTCGAAGTTTGTTTTTATATTTTTGTGGCAGAAAAATGAACAGCAGTTTTGATCAGTGAAAAACCCTGCGAGCTTGAAATAAATGCATTCGTTTTATGACTTCCAAAATAGTTTATTCGCTCGCAGAAGCAATTATTTTTCAAAGTTGTTATCGGAGAGTTTTCCCCTTTTCATTCTAATGACGTCCTCAGTCAAGCTAAACAGATGTTCCACCGTGGCGCTGGATGCGAAGGCAGCGTTCAATTTCAGAAGCAGGCTGTGCAGGGTCGGGTAAGCGAGTGTCGGCATATTTGTGTCCATGACGAAACATGTGAGGCTTGCCTCGGCCTAGGGGGTCTTTTATATCAAACTCTCCTCCTTTTTTTTCTCTTTTTTTTTTTTGGCAAGTTGAGATTGTTATGACTGGCCCCTCTTTATTCTCACGACGTTCAGAGATTTCACCGAGCGAGTGCGGCTGACCGTCAAGGGATCATGTTTCGCGCCACGACGATCAGATCATCCGAATGACTGCGCGTCTTGTTGCACTGTTATAGCTACGTCACTGAAAAAAAAGAAAAGAACTTGCTTTTCACCGTTGACGTTGGGTCCAACAAAAGGATCTCCCAAAAGTGACTCGCAATTCTCCCCGGCGACTATGGCATCCCGACGCGCCTGACACGCCCGACAAGTAAAACGTTTTCAAGGAAGAGGAGGTCTCCCTGGCGGTGGAAGGTCGGAAGGACGCGAAGGATTACGTGAACAAGCATCGTCGCTCGTACAGTTGCAGCTGGAAGCGATAACGTGCTCCCATGAACGGATTATCCGTGTCTGCGTTTGTGCGCGGGGGAGTCCGGCTTTGCAAGGGAGTGTGCGCTGACGACGAGGCGACCATGGGAACAGGCGCCCAGCTGCGAGGTCATTCCAGTGGCACCTACCGTGGAACCTACCACTTGAGTCAGAACTCACTAAAGGCACACAAAATGAAAACAACAACAACCTTTGGAGTGTTCCCGTCTTTTTGCGGTTGCCTGGAACAGGCGCAGACGACGTTGAGATAGGGGGTCGCGATCAGCCAATCAGGGCTCGGCGTTCTGACGTCACCGCTACTTCCTTTCTCATGCGCAGAAGACGAAAATGAGCCCACTTGCGAGGCGTATATAAACTTCTTTGGCACTCTGTATGCAATCAACTTATCAGTCACGGCCATCTCCACGGATCTCTTAACAAGTAAACTGTTCTTCTTGCGCACTGGAAGACAAGACAAGTATTATTCAATGTCTGCATGCACCGACACCGCATGTAGTTACGGTACAAAGATGTACGCTTGTTTCGCCGGTGTATAGATAGCAAAATCGCTTTATAAAGCGACCAATCACCAGCGAATTCAGATTGGCTCACCAAAAACGGAGAGGTCAAGGAGAAACTGCACATTTCATGAGCCAGAAAGGCGAGCATACGGGGAGCTTGGCGCTACTTTCCCATGATCTAGTGACTTTAGGTGGCACGAGAAATGAGAGGGGGGTTAACGCTTGGCCGAGTCGCGCGAGAGAGTCACGTGAACTGCCCGTGCCGCAGACCACGCGAGCTCGGTCGCTCTTCAGGGCCTCTAAACTCGTCAAACACAAAGTTGGGCCGAAGTTGACGGAGCACACGATGACATCGCGCTTTTTTCGCCGACGTCCAATCGGCGCGCTCCGCGAACTTTCGGCTCCAACTTGGTGTTTGACGAGCTTAGGGCCCCAGAGTGATGAGCAAAGATCGTGGAATCACGTCTGCGGGAGCGGCGTCTGTCGCCGTTTCAATCGGAGAGGAGCGCGTCGCGTTAAAGCCAGCAAACGAGGAAGCCAAAATATAAGACATGACGCGTGTGCGCACTGCGCAGTTCTTGGCAGTGTTATGTGCTTGACGTCATTCCTTGACCAAGTTTTCGTGACATCGACCTTCCAGCTTGGGACACCCTTCTAACCGCAGAAACAAAAACGTAATTGTACGTCAAAAAAAAAAAAAAAGAGAGACAGGGCGTTATGGTGGTCATGCTGTGTAGCGTGGGGTATTCATACGCATCGCGGAATTTCCCTTTTTATTAATGCATAATTAGTCATTGGAACCTAATGTTTCACATCGCTCCAAGTTTTACGGGTCGCAGCGGTGCCTGACAACATCTTCACTAAAGCACTGGCGTTAAGGCAGAGCAACTGTCGTTAAATGAAACGTCTCAGTCACTCCGCGCACATTGAAAGTAACGGACAAACATAAATAATAATAATAATAAAGCAGCGCGGAGACCAGGAAAAGGTAACAGGTAAACGACAGGACAAAGCGCCGTATACCAACTGAATGGCAACGGTGTCATTCACCGTAGAATTAATGATGATTTTGATGTTATCAAGCTCCAGACAAACATTAACGTTATTCATCATTGGACTGAAACTTGGCATCCATGGAGCTTAATACAACTAAGTGCAAAGCAATGAGAGTGTTTCGTAGTTATTCAGTTTTTCCTTGCTACTGTCTTAACAATGTTCCTATACTTTCTGTGTCGTCTTACAAGTACCTGGGCGTACACATAACATGTGATCTTTTCTTGAAAATACATATTGGATACGTTATTAGTAATGCTAATCACATGCTTGGTTATTTTAAACGGAATTTTTTTTAGCTCCCTCCTCTTTCATAGAGGAGGGAGCTAAAAAAGCTCCCTCCTCTCTCGCATATTGGTCGATACGTCGTATAGGTCGACCCCCTAACTTCGGGACCCCCGAAAAAAAAAAAAAAGTTGAAAAATATAATACCGGGATTTGCGTATTGGTCGACCCCCCAGTTTTGATGAGGCGATTTTTGAAAAACAGGTCGACCTATACGCGAGTAAATACGTAACTCTTTATAAAACATTTGTACAGTCAAAGTTTGAATAAGCGTCGTCGATCTGGAACCCGAGCCTTTTAAATATAGTTAGCCCCCTAGAAGCTGTTCAAGATCGTTCCGCTCGTTTTATTCTCAGTAATTATCAACGTACTGCAAGCGTCACCTCTATGAAATCTAACTTATCTTTGCGTAGTCTTGCCTCACGCTTCCATGAAATATTTCACACTAACTCATACCTCAGTCAACGTCCCCTCGCACCACCTATGTTTCATCCCGTCCTAACAATCCTCATAAAGTACGTGTACCCCCCCCCCCCCCTTATGTAGCACGAACACATTTAAACAATCTTTAATTCCGAAAACGCCTTTGAATTAGAACCGCCTCCCCACCTCATCGCCATAATCCAGGCAGATGATTTGTTTAAAACTGCTGTTACTAATTTCTATTGCTCATAACTAAAATGTGCTTTGCCTTTAAATTATTCATGGTATTTTTTTACTACAACCCACACCCTTTTGCACTGCGGTTGGAAATGAGGGTATTTAAATAAATAATTAATTAAATAAATAAATATTCTGCCGAGCTCGGCGAGCTAGCCCAAAGGGGTCGCTTGGTCGCTGGGATCGTTGCCGTTGCATCTTTTTCCGGATGTCTGTGGATCCAGTGTTCACGTCTGTGATGGTCAGTTTCATTAAGTACCTTCTTTTTTGTTGCTGCTTTAAGTCGGAACGAATGAGAACAGCACGTAGAAAAATAAATGTCCGTAGGTCGTCGCGGCCATGTAACTTAGCGACGCTGTCGGCCATGTTGATTTGACCGTAAAAAAGTGAGTGAGACAGCTCAGGAACTGTCGTAAAATTCCATCGTAACCTACGCAAAAAGTACGATAATTTTGTTTCTTGAACACGAGTTTGTTTTTACGATTTGTCGTACGCATATGGCGTAAGATCGTTTCGTGAATCTGGCCTCAGATGCTCTTCATGAAAACCCATCAAGTGCTCTTGGCGAAACACCTGTTCCTAAGCTAGTTTTTAACCTTTTCTTAATAAATCAGTCTGCCGTTCGCTAATATACAGTGATCTGGACCGAATATGCTATACATGACCGTCCGACATTATCTGATGATTTTTTAGCTACCCTAAGCAAAAAGTCTTTTTTTTTAATTTTGTTTTTATTCTTTCCCAAAAACATAGGTTGCGACTAATCTCATCATGGAGACCCACATAATTCCTGGCTCTCTTTTTTCCCACCTCAATAAAAAGTAACAAACCATTTCAGCAATGCACGAATTAGTTGCTGCTGCAGCAATGTATACGGTTTTAGGGCCGAACGGAGTGCCTCGATGGTGTTCCTTGCGCGTATCAAACCAGCATATACTATCATAGTCCCTAGCGGTGTTATCATCCGGTGTGACATACATCTTTGCAACGTTTCAGATATGAAACATAATATGAGGTCTCCGCAGTTTCCACCTCACTTCATTTGAAAGCGCTGGTAAACCAGCCATTTTATCGACACAAGGCCGGTAGTGAATCAGCGCTGTTTCGAGAGTTGCACTAGCGCTGAATATAGTGCTGGTGTAACTATATTTCGACAACTAGATAAGCACTGAATAAGCGCTGGGTTGGCGCTGCGCTGTATATGGTAACAGACTTTTGAGACACCCTGAACCCGAGTTCGTTTTTCAGTAAAATGGATTGGTAATTTAGTCTGCGATGCACTAAGGACCTATGGAATAAATAGTACGTACGAACATCGTTTAGTCCTTAAATTAACTATGCCGCGAGCAGTAATAAATGTTGGCTGCATTTTGCTTTTCCTGGTTGAAAATACGGGCAGATCGTAATAAGCCATTGACGCGTTTACCTGAAGAGAATCGAAGGCATCCGGGTCCACTTGCTTGCCATTCACTTTTGCTATCCACTGAAGAATCTTCTTGGTTCTTTTGATACTTCCCTTGGCGATTAGCCATCGCGTTGATTCAGGAATAAACCTGCAAAAATACAAGTGAATAGTGACTTCGTACGTTTAACCGTCGAGGTGTTGTGAAGCAATTTATCAAGTAGTGTTGCTGCCTGTGGACATCATCATTGTTTTTCCAAACAACAGTCAAAACGATTCGAGAAGACATGCAGCTAGGAGCGTGCTCAGCACTCGCGTGTTTGCAATGGCCACGTGTATTTTTTTAGTCCGCCAGAATTGCGAATTTTCACACGCGGGCAGTAATTTATGTATCTAGTATAATCATTACTTTGTACGTTCCAGCTACGCATACCTCGGCAGACCTTACTCATGAGGGCCTTCACTCACCCTCACTCACTCTCATCTTCACTGGTGAGGTGAAGACGAGTGAGAATTTCTGAACCAGGAAAATTCATGAGTGCGAGGGTGAGTGAGGGCCGTGAGGGCTGTGAGGACCTTGAGTGCGTGAGGGCTGTGAGTGCGTGAGGGACGTGAGGGCAATGAGTGCGTGAGGGCGGCGAGTGCGTGGGGGGCTGTGAGGGCTTTGAGCGCGTGAGGGGAATGAGGGCGGTGAGGGCGTGAGGGCCATGAGTGCGTGAGGGGCGTGAGGGCGGTGGGTGCCTGAGGGGCGTGAGGGCGATTCGTGCGCGAGGGGCGTGAGGGCCCTGAGTGCCTGAGGGCGGTGATTGCGTGAGGGGCGTAAGGGCCATGAGTGCGTGAGGGGCGTGAGGGTGGTGAGTGTGTGAGGGGCGTAAGGGCCATGAGTGCGTGAGGCGCGTAAAGTTCAGTGAGGGTGAGTGAATGGCTGAAGGTGAGTGTGACTGTGAGGATGAGGGTGAGTGAGGGGCTGAAAATTAGTGCAGCTGTGAGGGTGAGGGTGAGGGCGAGGGAGGGGCTTAGGTGAGTGTGGCTGTGAAGGTGAGGGTGAGTGGGGGCGACCTAAAATGCCGACCTTTGCAGCTACGTAATGGCCACCAGGCGGAGTTCGATCAAACTAATACTAGAAACGGGCGTTTAAACCAAACGGACGTGTCTGCGTTTATCTGCCGTTGCCTGCGCCGAAAATTATAAAAGCTTTATCGAAGTTAGTTTATGTGTCCAGGATGTCCGAGCCAGGCCGTTGCCAACACAGTTGGCTTGCATGCACCCACTTCCAAGAGACAAAATGTAACTAGAAGAAATAGAAAGATGCAACAAGTGCAAAAACATACTCAAACAGAAAATTCTTTTTTTTAGTTACCTACGACGTTATTATGACTGGCATCACGATCATAATTTGCTGTAAATTCAGGAGGAATTGGGGTGCAGGCGATCCGGAATTTAGTGCCTGCGATTCCGTTTATAAAAATGCCAGGCTAAAGGGGAACTTTGGTTGAGTCACAGTGCCCCCCATGGTCGCTGGAAAAAGCGAATAACTTGGCACAAAACCTTGATTAATCTTGTTGGTGCCTATCATGAGCGCTGTCTTGTCAACCTCCGCCGGACGCCATTCGCAATCTGGCGAGATCCGTGATTGCCTTTTATGAAGCGCGCGTCTGCCACGGGGCGATCGGGATCAACACGGATGTCATCCGTTCGTTGTTTTGGAGAACGTATCAACTCTAGAACAAAATCCGAATCAAACAAGACCTGCTGCACCCAAATTGGTGTGTCCAGTCGGAAGCCGGCTCGTGGTCGCTCATTAATTCTTGTCTTCCTGCAGTTCGCCATCAAGGATATGAAGCAGTTCCAGTAGCTCCAGCATCTCTGATCATCGCACCCGCCTCTAAGGACAAGTTGTCTGTCCTTCGTGAATTTGGCATGCGGCTCCCACGGGATTGCACGCCGTATGGGACAGCTGTACGCCGCTTCTTCAAAACATCCAGTGAAATTTCACACGCGGAATTGGTGATTTGATAGCGGACAGCACGTCCACTTACCAGGACATGAGTGGCCCAAGAATGCAGGGGACGACAACGACAGCGTTGAGGAGGCGCCAGTGGCCCACGGCGTAAGCCACCCACGGCATGCACACTCCCAGCAGCGGGTACGCGAACCGGAAGGCGCTCAGCACCAGCATCCGCTTCTGGGCAGGCACGTACTCCACCGCTGCACGGAAAAGCAGTAAAGCGCGAGAGTCAGTCTCACGCGGGGAGAGAGATCAGCGTATAACGCGGTGTTTATACAATAATAACTTTAAAAAAAAAATTTGTGCAACAACTGAAGTTCATCTTAGTTCTATGCAGCGCTGTGAGAGGTGCGGGCGCGAGCGCGCGTGGTTGCTTCTCTGGAGAGAGTGCTTATGAAAACTATTCGCGGTGAGAAGCTCGCGAGAGGGTGGTGCTGTTTTTTCCTCAGTGCACGTGCCACCCCTGCGGTTATGTTTAAATTTTCATGGTGCACAGAAGCTTGGCATTGCACGTGGTTGCACCAGCAGAGGAAGTCGAAGTGTCCTCACTCGGAGTTTTAAAAACATTTCACCAGGGGTCGATACCCAAACTTATCGACGGGACAATCCGACGACAAGTTAATAATGCAGCGGAAGCTCCGTCTCCAGGTCGAGCTTAGTACCTTCTAAACACTCCAACGTCTTGTGACCATGCACAGTCAGGGCACGACTAAAGGCAACGAGCGCGACAGAGGGAAACGAGAAGACTTCTTAGTCGTCACACCTCCAGCGCGAGCTTCCCTTCAGTAAGGCATCAGCGTCTCGTCAGTTCCGAGTTTCGCCTGTGCGTTTCTGCACGCATGCGTGTTTCTTCGATCGTATTCTGCAAGGCGTGAAGGCCGCAGCCTAAACTTACCAAGCACGAAGGGTATGATGCTGATGGACAATAGCACCGCTCCTTCGATGGCTCGGGTCACGACGAAAACCGCGAAGTTGTTGGAGAAATAGGTAACAACTGCTCCTGCGCCTGCAAGGATGTACACGAGCACCATCACCGGCACGCGCCCAACTCTGTAAAGGAAAGAGTGAAAATGTACACGAGTCAGAGATTGACGTTTAACGTTTTAGACAGTATACTCGTTTAAATTACGAACCAAATGCGATTGCATGTTGTGGACGTTGTCATTTTTATGATTTTTACAATGCGACATTTATTCCGCCTTGAAATATGTGGTTTGGCGTCTCTAACGTGGCGTTTGCCTTCATATGACGGCCATAATTGAAGGGTAATGCAGGCAAGCGGTGCTGCTATTATACAAGAAAAACGACAAAACATTTGCACTTCTCGCAATATAAGAAGTATCCTTCTGTTATTTAATAAAAAATAGGTATATGTTAATTTCGACTAGCTGTTCTTTTTTTTAATCCAAAATTCAGTTATAAGAAAGTGGGGACTCTTAAAACATTGTAAGATTGCTGGGCATGATTTTTCTTGTTAGACCCAGGAACTTTTGAACCCGTTCTGTAATATTCGCTTATTTTGCAGTCACATTTCGTCCCGCCTTGAGTTTGCAAGTGTTGTGCGGAGTTTTCTGACAGCAACTGATGCATTGCAGATTGAAAAAGTACAAAATAAGTGTATTCGACTTGTATGCGATCGATATTTTGGGCGAAGGTGTTTTTATGGCTATGCCTACGTACTTTAAACTTTCAGCTTACAAAGGTTATCAAGGGGCAGAGTGGCGGGAGATATTTTAATGTCGCATTGAATAATTCATAGCCTAATAGATAGATGCTTACTGTCTTCTGTTATCTTTTACGTGCCTCGACGTTTCAGCAGGCACTCCTGTTTGTTTTATAGTGCTTTTCGGGAGAAAGTGTGTCCAATCACCCGCATACAAATGTCTTTTAATGCCATTTCACCAAATACGTCTTTAGATACTTTTTACAAATTATGTGTGCACTTTAGACGCGAACTCAAAACTCAGACCTTTAATTTACTCCTCATAACCACATCGTTATAGTACCTGTGTGCTGTACAAGTTGTATAATAACGAACGTGCCTCATATCAAGAATTGGGTTGCTTTGAGGCACGGAATAAGAATGCATTATTATTTTATGTAATAATATTACTATTTCGGCTGCCCCCTTGGCTTATGATCAGTGTTTTAATCATTACCAAAAAAAAAAAACGTCATTCGTTACTTGCAAATAAAAAGAACGCTTTACCGACTTACCTTACCTCTCTCCCCCCCCCCTTTTATTTCCCACACGCACGCACACACACAATATAGATTTTTAGTATATGGTTCAGACGACTGCGATAACGACACCCGGTACTCCGCCGCCGCATTTGCGCGTTCGTTGTATCGTTACCGGGGCTGTTGGAGATATCGGAACGACCTACAAGGACTCGTAATAAAAGGAACGCGTTACCGTTACCGTTACTGGTAAAAAGTAACGAGCGTTACTTTTGCGTTACATTTTATTTACAAAATAAAACGTTTTACTGTTTCGAATCTAGAGGTATGCCTAAACGCAATATTTAAAAGAATAGGGAGTGTTTGCGTGGGTAAAAGAGAGACATAATTTATGCGGGATGAGTGCCAGTATTATATAACTTGGCACCTAAAAGCACACACAAAAAATAAGTTTTTTTTTTTTTTTTTTTTTAAGAAGTAACGAGTAACGAAACTATGTTACCTGTCACCAGAAATAAATAACCTAAGCATGTTGTCCGTTACTCTATTGAAACTGTAACGAGTACGTTACTACGTTTCCGAAAAAACATAACGCGTTACCACCAACACTGCTTCTGACGCACGTCCTTGCTGGTTGACGATTTGTTTCGAGTATCTTACATTGGAATGTTTATGAAGGCATGAAAAAGCTTGCATGAAGTGCATGACTCACTTGTCGCTGATGGCGCCGAAGGTAATCACTCCGAAGGACATGCAGCCGAAGAAGACCGAGTTTGACACGTAGGCCTTCCAGGTGCTGCCGCACACCCAGTCCATCTGCGTGGAAGTCAACACGCGACACACGGCGAGGAACGGGCATCAATTACGTTTGTCGTCGCTTCGGGCCTCTTTTTTGCATATATTTCACTCACTATGCATAATCAAAGCGGTGTATTCAACGAAAGTGACCCGACTTCCAATCAAGCGTTGAAAAGCTCCTTCATCGAAATGCAGTTGGCTCGGCACCTGACGACAGCTGGTCTAGGACCAACCACCGAAACCGATGCGTTACAGAAGGTCATCCATCTTGATTAGCTACGGCCACGGTTTCGACTGGAGGGAAAACGCCGTCTGCAATTTCCGGAAGACGTCACGTGCTTGAAATACACTTTGCAAATGCCTATACGTCTATTGTTCCTAATAGCAGGCAAAACAAAACGTTTCAATAAAAATGCTTTAGCATGACCTTTTGGGAAAGGCTAACGCTGACCCCTTCACTTTTCTCTTTTGGCATTCTCATTTGGCTTTCTATTTTGCTTCCTCTATTTCTGCTGCCTCTTTTTGGCCTCGTAACGGGGTCAGTGTTAGCGTTTCCCGAAGGGGGACGTGCGTGGCGTTCCCCAGGGGTCATGCTAACGAATTCCCTAAGAATTCAGCATTGGATCTTCCCGTAATTGTTTGTCACCCCTTTTCTGTACTCTGCTTGTCAGAGTACGTCGACGCCCTTGAATACGGTCATCTATATCACTCGTGGAAATAACCACGTCCATAACACTGGTGGAAGGGACCGCATCCATATCACTCGTGAGGGAACCGGATCCATCGTTTTAACTACACATACACATCATAGCCCACGCACCGCTACTACGGAAACGAAGAGCGAAAAACAACCGCCGACGACTGAGCGGCAACCGAGCACGCCCGCAATCCACAGCGCCGCGGCGGCGCCTCTTTTCAGCTGTCTCTGCGGCAGCTGTCGCTTGAGTGACGAAAACGAAAGCACTCGTTTTGACGAAAACCAGGCGGTGTCTGTCAGTTTGTCAGCACCGGGGAGAGAGGGAGAGGTCGTCGCGCGCTGACGTCAGCGCTTTGAACCAATGGCAGCGTAGCACGCGTCACCCTCTCCCTCTCTTTATGGCACTGAGAAACAAGACACCACCGGGTTTTCGTCAAAACGAGCGTTCTAATTCTAACGCATTAAAAAAATGGAGTATGCGCTATGCGCGACGTTAGCATCTGAAACGTGGACTCAGTGTCACACAGCAGCAGCGCAGATTGCTTTTTTGGTGGACAATAGATTTTCCGCATTATCATCCGTCGAGCTTCTCCGTAGAGCACTCTCCTAAATGTGGGAAAGTATACACACGAGCGTTTTTACATTTTAGTTCGAATAGACCAACATAATCGCCCTGAGATGTTAGGAAGTTTTCGTAGACCCTTCCAATAACTCCGACAGCAATACCGAAAACTCTGCCGACGCCTTAGCGCATTCATAGTATACTTATCGGGTATCGTTATCAGAGTCCTAGGAACGATCTACTAACACTCCTTCTTCTGATATGGCGTTTTAAGGTCTCTAGTTTGATTCTTCGTACTTCTTTTTCATCTTTTTCTGGCTCGTTTTATTCTGTTTTCACTGACTCCCAAGCTACGTTCCAAGAGATGACACTATGATGTGCTAATCTTCTGTTTCTCCTCATCGCTATAGCGGGTATTCATGAATGTCCGCGGGATGCGAACTAATATTTGTGGGTGCTCATTGTACGCTATCCACATTGGATAGAACACTTCAAATGCGCAAGTTGAAAGATGTTGATGTCAAGACATGTTTGGCGTCATGAAAATAAAGCTGCCTTCATCTCGCTGTCAAAACAGTCCCCAACTATTACATATACTGAATCCTCTGCCACTGGCGTTGATCCGTTCCAGAGTTCAGGTCAAGAAATTGTTTAGATTATTGATGATGTCTGTAAAAGGAGAGAGGGGGTGGAAAGAGGAGAATGGAAAAATCTTTTACAACTGAGCTGTTAAGGGCTAGTTTTCCCAGTATCGTACAATAATTGGGGTTGTGTGAATATTTATACAGCGTGTAGTTGGTCAGCCATTTCAAAGTTGCGACTAGTCACTCGCTGTAGATGAGCATTAGCCAGTGCAGTACAACCGTTAGCCTGGGATCTTTAACGTGCACCAGGCAGTAGTGATACACGACCGCACGCCGGTACGATGCTCATCCAGGTCGAAACAAGCAGGGGTGGGGATTGAACCCAGGATCGCTTTGTTCTGCAGCGCGAGCTTTCGCTCCACGTGCTCGAGCTGGTGTGCGCTGGCCCATGGCATCAATCTGTCCTCCAGTATCGTGTCCGTCAACAAACAAATGATGACATGAAACTGGACAGTTACCGACATCTATGAGCGACAGCGGCAACCGGACAATCGGCTTGCCGGTTGTCTGGTTGCCGTTGTCGTTCATAGATCGCGGTAGCTTTTTAGCCTTTCCACTCTAGCTTGCCGACTTGCAGACGGCCGTTACTTAATTCCCAGCGCAGTACAGCTTCGCTGGTCTTCTTTCTTCACTAGAGTGGAAAGGTAGAAAGTTGATTTTAACCTCTTTTGTTTACTGGTTACTCATTAGTGTATTTTTAACTTGCAGGAGTGCAAGTCTTTTAGTTGCTTGCTGTTTTGTTTTTCATTGTTCATACCTGCCAGCCCCCTTTTTGTGTAATACCTTGCTAAAGGGCCTTTAGTGAATCAATAGATGAAATGAAATTAATGAATGATGTTTCCGGCAGATCAGCTCTTCAAGCTCAGCATGAATACTTTCGAAGAAGTGTCATAAATTCTAGGCATTAATGTTTCCACGCAATGTTGTAAGGGCTCAGCCTTAACGTTTTCGCACACTATTGTGAAGGTTACAGGCACGAAACGTGCGGCTTTGGGAAGGCTCATTTAGCATGACTGTGCGCGCACCCATGCGAAAAGCAAGTTCGTCTGCCTTTTGCACAGGGGTTGCGATGATGTCAGAACGCCAAGCTCTTATTGGCTGTTTAAAAAAAATAAAAAATAAAAAACAGTGGGTAGACCTCAATGGCATCTAGCATTGAGGGCTAGCCACCGTCCTTTCAATCAAAACCAATCAGAAATCGGCGTCGTTCTGAAGTCACCGCAACTCCTGAGCAAGAAGCAGACGACTCGCTCTCCGCATAGCCCTGCTCACTGGCACCGACAGCTTAAGAAACGGCGAGCCCGATGCGTCTCATTATCGCGTCGCAGCCAATAAGATAACGGCATTGGCCGATAGCAAGGCCGAAGGACGAATCAGGAAGCAGTAAGCGTTAACATAATGAGCCGCGTCCTGCAGAGCTGTCACTGACCACAAATTGTAAAATGTAAACATATCCGAGATGAGGATGCTGAACGAAACCAATTATAAAATTAAGTTTACATTAGCGGCTCGATAAAATGCTGCGTGCGAATGCAGGTTGAATGCGGAAAACGCGATGACCCCGTGCAGGGGTAACCGCCATTCCGCCCTCATGTGTCTCTCTTCAACTCTCACCTCAAGCGTAGTCTGAGGTGTACAAATCAACTTGTTGCACGGGCGTTTAGACATAACACGCGCGCGCACATACGGGTACACGCGTGCCGCGCATATCCCTTCCCTTTTCGTGCGCCAGTCTACCCGGTGCTGACTGGCGCTTGCATCCAGGCTAGGAAGCTCTGCTCAAAAGAATCCCCCTTTTTTATTTTTATTTTTTGCACCGGGAATCACGGAAGCGGGCGTCAGCGCGACATTTATGCCCCCTTTAACACCACTACCTGTTGACGCAGATAAACGCCCCAAACATCGTAAATCTAAGAGCCCAAAACAACGGAAGAGAGACCCATATCGTGGCCTCGGGCCGTGTTTCTGTTTGTCACTTTTTGTTGTGTCCGCTCTGGTGTCTGTTTTGCTGTTCTTGGAGGTCGACCGGTCCGCATATCTTTTCGACCTTTGTTTGATATATTAGTGTTCAGTGGCGCGTGAACACGGTTACATGGGGAGTTTATTGGAAGTTTTAAACTATAGCTTTTGTGTCCCCGTTAGAAGACCCCTGAAAAAAAAACAAAAAAAAAACTTCTTTTTTAAACAGTCTGGTTGGGTCACTCGTGTCTAAATTTAAATTTTGCGCGGAAAAAAAATTTTAGAGCAGTATTGAAGGCGAGAGATTTATTTGAAATTCTGCGCGCAGAGTCCATGAAGTCGCTGAATGGTCATTCGCTCAACGAGATGGTGATTCGCTCTTTCCACCTGAACGTGAAGGCAAATCCGATCCACCTCTCCTCTACGCGCCCGAAATGCCGAGAGAGAAAAATCGTGGAAAGGTGACTACCAACTAAATTGTGTCTTGCGCCGTAAATATTGCTCTATCTCTCTCTCTCTCTCCCCCTCTCTCGCACTCTTTCTCTCTTTCTCTCTCTCTCTCTTTCTCTCCCTCTCTCTTCCTCTCTTTCTCTCTCTCTCCATATATATATATATATATATTTTCTTGTAAAATTAATTTTTTGACGCGCGTGTCCCAAACAAACTGTTTATAAAAACATCTTTTTTTTCTTTTCTGGGGCCTTATAAGTGCACGCACGCACGCATGGACGCACGCACACGCGCAACCCCACCCCCATACAGACGCACATACAGACATACACACACGCACACTCACGCACACACACAAGTGATGAACATATAAATTGTTACATGCAGCTACAAAATATCAGTGTATATATCTTAGAAAGTACATATTTCCGGATTCTACATATTCGGCGCCATACAGAACTGTGTTGCACACATATGAATTTTCGTCAGGCCATTGCATAAACAGCCCGCGGTTAAAATTAGCAGGGATGTTTGTTGCGATCGCTACACAAGACGTATTCTCCGTTACTTTCTATTTTATTCCAATTTCATTGTATATTTTTACTTTCTCTTGACTTTCTAACTGGTTTGCTAAAGTGCTCATGCTACCGGCGTGAAGTCCTGTCCTTACAGCAAGGCGGTGTTCGCGCGACCTTGTATTTTTGTTTAAATGCATACACTCTTTCTTCTACATTAGCTCATTAGTCTCATCTGTTCACTAGCATATACCTGAAAGAAATGTTCGAAATCACCGCACGTTCCACGTTGACCCCACAAACTTTATATCATTATCGGGTCGCCATTCAAATATATTTAAACCATCTGGACTTAACCGATATACACGTTTTCAATCCAGATTTGTGCTGAATTGGGTTGTGTGTGTGTTTATACAGCCTAGAACTTCGTCTGCCTCACAGGGGCGACGAGTCTCCTGATTTAATAAATGATTACGCCATGTATGTGGTTCATGTATATTTTGTTGAATATTTTGTTTTAGTTTGTTTTTTGCTTTTCTTACCTTTCTTATTTTTTTATTTATTTGTATTCTTGTTTTACGACTAACAAGTGCACCAGTTCTTAACTTAGGCTTTGGCTGTTACTAGACACAATAAAGAAAATTATTATTGTTATTATTATTATCATCATCATTGTTATTATTATTAGTATTTCTATCCTTAGCGACGCACGTAAGTCAGTCGTCAACACTATCATGACCAAACTGCTCAGCAGAGACATCAGACGCGGACAGTTTAAGGCAAAATATGAAAGCGAAAATACAGTTCATATGCAGGCTCTGGTGGACATTTACGATGATAAGATTAAAACGTTGTCGGTCACTTTTTTTTTTCTCTACCACTTTCGTATCCTTTTTGAGTGCCTCAGTCTCGGGTTATAAAAACAACTTTGTCGTCGACGCGAACTCAAGACGTGACAGCGTTGAGCTCTGTGTATCTCCGGGTTACTGCTCCCTCCCCCAACGACCTTATTTATTATATAATCCCTTATTATCTTTCTTCCTTACATTTTTTTTATATACAGTTATACCGCTTTCTTTCAAAGGGATTGCGAGGATGACCGTATCTGAGAGGGAGACTTCCTGCACCTGCATTCTATTCCTTATAAACAATAAGCTACTACTGCTACTTGACCTCTTACCTCAGACACTACCGTTGGATAGATGACCGAGTGATCGTACTCCCAGCCATACTCGCACGGGACCGTAGGCCAGGAGTCTTGAGGCTGGCCCAGTCCCGGCCCGCCGGGCGACAGCGACGACGCCACGTCCGTCCAGTTCAAGTTGTACATGGTGCACTTGCTCCACGCGCCGTCCGCCATCTTCGGAATGCTCATGTTCCTAATCTCATCGCGGGTGAAGTTGAAGCCCTCTAGGAACGGATTGCGACACCAGTGAGGGGGCTCGAGCAGGCTGAAGATGTGCGCGAACAACGGCAGCACTCGCAGAGGGGCCACGAAGACGCAGAGGTAGACGATGAGCAGGTACTGGAACACGCCAAAGTCCCCGACTAGTTGGAGCGCCTCCTCGAAGAGCATTCTGCGAGAGCGCGGCATGATGCATTCCTTAGTAGTTAAACGATGCAGGCTTCGAGCAGAATGTATGCTCCAGAAACGGTATTTGGCAGTCTGTATATTATATTCATTTTTGGATCTTCAGAAAGACCCCGGTGACGGAGGGTACAAGAGCTATACGGGGCACTTCGGTGTTCAGACTTCAGAACGCAATTCATATAGCCTGATTGCCCACTGAACAAACATCTTACAAATGCTGGTCGCGTTATGAATAAATATGTAAGATGTAAACAAGATAATATTGAAAAATCTGATTTGTTACATCTGCGGCCAGAGCAGCCAGCGCTTGTTGTTCTCTCGCATAAATGACCTAAAAAAACGCATAAAAGAAAAAAACTACAACAACAGAGCTATCATTCAGACGAAAGCGATAACCGACCTACTATTTTTTTTCTTCTAAGTAACGCCTTTCCTACTAAAGAACCCTTTAGCAGCAGCGTACCGTGTCTCATTACCGTCCCAGTAAATGTATTCTTAATGAACTCATTCTGCTAGTATGAATGACACCTAGCAGACATCCAGCTGCGTTTCATTGGACATGGTAGAATGAGTTCGTTGTACAAATGACCGTGATTGTATTATCGTCTAACTGAGCTTGTTATAGAGCAGAACCTTTGCTCTAACAAGCTTTGACGATGTATTGAACGTCATTCCTTCGACGTCATGCATCGACAACACCTCTGGGGGGTAGTAGAATGAATCTCGGAGGTGGAGTTACTCCGTCGCTTCGAAATACCGTTTTTCAGAGTTATTTGGAAGAGGGTTTCTCAGTGAAATTCAGCAATGAAAAACGTAAGCATTGTGTATTTTTATTTATATGTGTAAACAGATGACCTTCTGCTACCTCGGAGATTCGTACTGTTTCATTCGTAGACTCTCATACTTATTAAATGTTGTCAGAGTCTCTAGGAATGACTTGGCGCTCTATTACAGGGATCCTCAAGCTCACATGTCCCAGAACGACGACTTTTTTTTTGTTGTATCGAGTGCAGCAAGTTCGCGATGAAGCATACCTATACTTCGTTTCACACGAATTCAACGCTACGAGCTGATGGGACTAACCATTGGTAGGGATAGTCTCCTCTATACTCACAAAGCCTGGGAGTTCGAAGACGGAGCTGTAAAGAGCCCGGTCGCACATTTGGAGCGCGAGGATCTGGTAGCAGAGAGCATTTCTCGGGGAAGCTGGTACTCAGCGCACAGCTTCTGCAGTGGCGAGGACCCGAAACGTGGTTTTTAAATCCGACGAGAAAAGAAGCGGTAGAGCGAGGAACGCGAGGAGCACGAGCGGACATTCCATCGCTCGGGAGAAGTGTGTTTCGGCGTCTCGCCGCAGCGGGGGCGCCCGTCACATGCCTTTTGTCTGCCGCTCTACCTGTTCACTTTTGGCAGCCGCGTCTCGTGGCGATCTGCCAGCCTTTGTCAGTATAGAGGAGGCTATGGTTTCACCATAATAATAAACGAAACCGCAGCCGGAAGCATTTGTTGCCTTGAACGACGCTTGCACTGCCCGCGGTCAGTATGTACCAAACAGTATATAGCATCTCTTGTTGTCTTACAAAAAGTAATATCCAGTTTATGCTGTCAATCCCCCCCCCCTCCCCCAAATACGTGCAAAATTTACTATAAACACCGCAATAAAGGCCGACTCAACGTGTACCTAGCTTGAAGAAGAAGAAAGAAAAGTTTGCTAGGTTGAGTTGCTGAGATTCGTTTGTTTTCGTATGCGTTAACGAGGTAATCATGCACTGTGAAGGTACATTATACTTAGGAGTAACGCCGTTCGTCGTAATAATAATTGTAATCGTCATTTTATGTATACTGCAGTGTGAGGCACGCACGACGACACGTATGACGTTGAACGGAAGGGTGATCATTCTTGCCCAAATTAGCCACCAATGTATACACTTTCAGAACTCACCGAGTGTATACTGCATCGTGATCGCAGTGCACTAGAAATGCAATTGATTGGCTTTTTGTTAACGCGTTCAGCCAGTGGGAAGGCGGATAGGTACCATGCTCTGATGGGCTATAAAAGTCTTAGTGGCAAAAAGACTGCATAGCTAAGCTATATAACTCTTAGTGGCAAAAAGACTGCGTAGTCATTGGGACGTGAAACCACTCGAACTTCTCTTTAAGCCAACTAATATAGCCTTTTCAAAACCCAATCGAGCAACATTGGCGGTCGGTATTTCTTGGTCACGAGGCGTTCGATCGGATCGGAGTCCTCGACGAACGTTGACGCAGTACTCGTTTTCGATCCGAGCTGAGCCGCCTTCACGCCAAACGCTGACCCAGCCCTTGTGACCAACATATACGCTAAGAGTATAGGTGCCAATGGCAAACTCAAAGAATTTGCGCAGAAGCTACTGGTACAAAGCGCACTTTTGAAAAGGCTCTGTTATAGAGAAACCACTGACTAGAGTTTCTAATGCACTCGAGAACTGTATATACGTCCAGGAACATCCGAGACGTTATGATGCGTTAGTAAAAAGTTCTTAAAAACACACACACACAGACACACACACACACAATTATCTGAGTCAGTATCGGGAGTGCCAAAAGTGAAAGAAAAAGCGTCACCCGGATATATGGCTTGTTACAGAAAGAATAAAGAGAAAGGACGGACAAGGACGGACAAGTCATCAAAACCAACGCGCTCACGTTCAACTATACGGATATATTGCTTTTATGTTTCACTATTCACGCCGTTGTAACAACCCCAAGACTAATGAGTATTTTTGCCGCCTCCTCTTGTTTCGCAAAATATCATCACACTGAATGCGACCGCGCCAACTCAGCGACTGAGCGCTGCCGCGCATGCCTGCAGAAGCACCGATTGAACACGCGGCCGAACGCTGCATGACGCAGTACTCGAGTTCCAATCTGAGAACGCTCTCGATCGTGGGGTAATGGCGTCACAATTCGAGTGCACAGACCTCGCTAGTTGATGGCCGTTGGGAGCGTCCGATTCGATTCTTCCATAGCTTCCAAACCACTCCCAGACCCTCTAAGATATTCTCCGTGCGTTTGTTTTATCGTAGAGGCCTGTGACATATACATCAGAAGGAGATTCGGCGCAGAGAAAGATAGTTCTACCCAAAAATAAAGTCCGCGGAGTGATACTTGATTAGGAGGTGAGCATGCATTCTGATTCGCGCAATCTGCCTCCAAAGATTCTGCGCATAACCGTTAAGCCTCGACGTTGATGTACTCTTTGTGACAATTGCTCGAAGGGCTAACCTCGTAAAACGACGAACCACCTCGCTTTTCCTCTTCTTGGTTACTTGTCCGTTAGAATACCGTAGAAACCCGTAGAGACCAGAAGAGAACACTGCGGCATACCTTCGGGGCCCCCGCGTCAGCTTCCACGCGGGAACCCGCAGACACTTGCTAGCTTACACTCGAACACACAAGTGACGGGGAATATGAACAGCGTGTGCCATGTTGGCACATGCGCATTTATCTTTCATTTTAAAAAAATGCGGCATTGCGTCAGAGTCAAGGGAGCGCCGTCCTACGTAACGTCTATGGGGGAATTTTTTCCGCAGCTGCTTCGAAGGCAGAAGAAAAGCTGGCCTCCGTCGTGCCGATATACGCATGGGGGAAAGAACGAAGCTGTCTCCGAGTCTAGAATCTGGCCCGAATCATCGACTTTCGTACTGTCCAGAATGGACCTCTTTTCTGATACTAAACGAGACACTCTTACAAAGCCCCGACAACGGCGAAAGCTGAGAGCAAACAAACAATCGCTTTTTTTCTCTCTCCTTATTTTAAATTAAAATCGTCATAAAAGTTACTAAAGCCGGACACACTACTTATTCCCGGCACCAACCTTCGCGGTAAATTTTGTGATACTGGCGTTAATGCCTTCTCTGAGTAAATTCTGATAGCTGTGTCGCGCATTGGAATAGAGCTAGGATTTTGAGGTGTTCTCGCTTGAAGGGTCTACGTATAAGTCCGTTCGTGTTAAAAAAACAGGACAAAAAAAAACACTGCGTTCGATTAATAACAATTCTCTATTCCTAGTTCACGGTCTCCCATGTAACAATGGAGAGCCATAAACAAAGTTTACGAAAGACTGGGTCGGTACTGCAAATCGCCTTTTAAATTGTTTAAGGAAACCATACTTGGGTATACTACTTCAGAAATGCGATTTAATCACAATTACAACCCCCTTGCTCCAAAATTAGTTACTTACAACCTGAACTGCTAGTGCACAAAAAGAAAATTATTAGAATAACGCGTTACTTTTAAAAAGTAATATAATGACACACCGTTCTTTTCCTTTAGGAGCTACCCGATTCCTATGAGAAGTTGCTGTAATTCCATGTTTTTTTCTTTTTTTTTCGATTCATTATTTGCTTCACCGTTGTAGATTCGGTATACGGTTTTCCAGTGACCACATTTCGTGTCCTTGTTTCGCCTACTTTTTTTAGCGGCACGATTGGGAGACTGTATGATACGAGTCAGCAGTTTGATTATTTAGCTGCACTACCAAGTTTTATTAGGTTTGGTTGTTGGCATGTTGGTTTGTTCTTGAAAGTTTTTTATCAGGGCAAAAGTGCGGAATGGAAGCTCAACCCTTCAATTCTTAAAATGTTGGAAACGAGTCGCTGCAAGATAACCAATGTACACGTCACGATCGCATCACTTTAGTTCCTTCTCTCCATTCTGACGATGGAAGAATTCGCACTCGGGTATGTGGGACATCTTCCGTGCCCCTCTGCGTGTGCCGTGACTTCGACTATTGCTTCTCAGCTGCGCGCGCACCCTCCATTCCCCGGCACAGGCTCGACGCGTTCAAAGACCCAAGTGCAATAACCCCAACACGACAAAAATCCCACAAGGTACTTTGAAAAGCAAGTTTTGCGACAGCTAAGGCTTAAAATAAATGAATTACAACTACAATTACATTTACTCATAAGCAATCAATGAAAATAAAAAATGCTTAAAACTTTATT